TGAAGACAAAGCATTGGTGACAAAAATAGCAAGAATGACAATGTGAATAGTGTGGATTGGGTGGCGATGAATAGATGTGTCATTGTCATGGTGAAAGGCAAAAGTAGATGGTGACGAAGTGCTGATGGTGGTTTATCCTGAAGCTAGAGATAGTTAACTTTTGTTTCATTTTTTATCAATTAACTTTTTTATTTTAGTGAAAATTTCCAAATTTAAATTCATAAATTCAACAAACAAATTTTACTCATACATATATACATACATACATACATACGTACATACATACATACATACATACATACATACATACATACATCCATACATACATACATATATACATCCATACATATATAGACAAACGCGCACACACACACACCCACCCACACACAGACACACACAGAATGATAAAATAAATTTAACGACAAGATGATGTAATGCATAAAAACGTGTTGCAACGACCGAGATCACAAACAACCTCGTCTACCTAGTTTAAGTCTGTCACTGATACAAGTGAGCAGGGTCTTGAGTACCTTAACATTACAGTACCTCAATACCCACGTACAGGTCAGAAAATATGCCCTTCTCTCTCCACCATCAACAACGCCATCTGCTACGCGATAAAAAACAACAGCACTGCAGAAATCAAAAAAGAGAATTGCGATAAAGTGCCGTCAGAGAGTTCCTGCAAGTGCGTGTGTGATGATGGCTACAAGTTGAAGGACGGTGCGGTCCAGCTGGTCTACTGCAATAACTCTGGTTCATGGGTCGGTCAACTACCGACTTGTGAGGGTTCGTTTCGATTTAATTCTTTTGTCAACATTGATTAAATCTTAAAATTTTTCAATATACTTTATGATGTCTAACGTTTATCAGATTTAACAATTAATAATTTAATTCAAAGTTGTTGCTTAAAACCTCGGTCATTTCATATTACGTGTTGTTGTTGTTGTTGCTGCTGCCGCTGATGCTGCAGTTGTTGTCGTAGTTACTGCTACTGTTGTTGTTGCAATTATTTTTACATGCATTCACATTTCCAACGAAACAGAAGTGAAATGTGCGGAGTTGAATGGACGTCAGTTAGAGCAGCAAAGAAATTTATCAATATCCTACCTCAACGAAACGAAAGTTAATTCGGTCCTTGAACTCTCCTGCACAAGTTCGACGCACTACCTCTTTGGTCCAAAGTATCTGACATGTAACTTGCATGGGGAGTGGGGTTTGGAAGATTCTTTTCACTGCCAAGGTCAGAACATGAAAGATGCGTTTTTAGTTATTAAATGATACTGCATTGTGACATAAGACGGTTGTTAGAAGATTTCTTGAGTGTTGTCTAACAAAAACTAATGAGATCTCTCTTTGTACATGTTGTATATTTTGAACCGGTATTATTTTTCAAAATGAAAAGAAACAAATTTTTCTTCAAATTTTCAGATGTTGCTTATTGTTCAAGCCCTCCCAAACTGCCTGACTATCTCTTCTATAATTCCTCTGAGTGCAATGGCCCAAACAACAATAACTATGTTACAAGCAACAGCCAAAACAACAACGGTCTTAAAATTGGTGATAACGAATATAATAAACTAAAAGTTGGGACGAAATGCCCACTGGCTTGTCAGGAAGGTTTCACGTTGAAAGGATCTCCATCGATTGAATGTCAGTTCAGTGGTCAGCCACACTGGTCGCATGACGTGAACCACATCCAGTGCAATGGTATTTTTACACTTTTTTATTATTCAAGTTCAGAATTTTTAACAACGCAATTTTCTAAAAAACGTTCAGACGCACAATAAAAAAATCTTGAAAATTTCTATTCGCTTTTATTTTCAAACTCAGTAGCATTTCTTATCTACTTCATGCAAGTTACACGATTAAACCTTTTCGACTAAAATGACTTTTATCGAACATCATTTTAGATATCAAAGCGCCCTCTATAGTCTGCCCTAAGCCCTATCAAGTCACGGTGCTGTACAATGCAAACAGTGGCAACAGATATCGTGTAGACGTCAATTTCAATCCAAAAGTTACGGAGAATTCAAAAGGCTACAAGGTGTTTGTTGAAGGAATGCCGAAGGACCAGCTGTTCTACGTAGGGACGAACATTATCACGTACAAAGTCGTCGACTCGAGCAACCACAGCGATATTTGTACGACGCACGTTACTGTAAGAGGTTAGTCCTTGCGATAAGAAAATGCTTGTGAAAGGATGATTTTAATAGATTTAAATCAAATCATGAAAAATTGTAAATAAAATTAAACAAAAAAATGAACATGATTAATATTAAAATTCAAAATTTCAGTGGTAGATGTTGTTGCGTTGAACTGTCCAGTCAACCAAACCATCTTCATTGACAGCCTTGAGAAAGTTACAACCTTGACCTGGAATGACCCAATTTTTTACGACATAAAAAGAAAAAATGAGGTCAAACATACGTGTTCTCGCGCAAAAAATACAAAACTAACCGGCGCGTTGAGTTCCCTAAACGTAATTTGTAGGTGGGGGAGAGTTGGGCAGTCGGAAACATGCTCCTTCTATGTTAATATCAAAAGTTAGTTAAGGCCAGTTTTTAGTTTTTCTGTTGTTAAATATTTTCAAGTTTTATGCTTGTGCTTAAAAAATTTTGTATACATCCTAAAGATATAAAATTATATAGATATTGAAATATTCAATTTAAATGGCACTTTCAAAAATGAGCTTAACATGAATTGAAATTGCTTGCCAGAGCCAGAATGCGGGCCACCCTATCATGACATGACCTCAGCAAACGGCATAGTGGAGCGATTAAAGGCCTTTGCTAACGTGGCAGCGTACAGCATGCAGTGCGAGCGGAGCTACGCGTACGTCAAACGTTCAGAAAGTCTAAATGAGAGTAACAAGGAGAGTAACTTAGGTGACAATGGAAATCTCGTTGGTAGTTTTGCTGACGACGACGATGGTGATGGCGATGGATTGTCGAAATATTATGAAAACTTCGATTTCAGCTGCGACTACGAAGGTGTGTGGCACTCCAATGGCAGGGCTCTACCGCAATGTTCACCACGGCAGCCAATCCAATCCGTCAATCTTCATTTCTCTTTCACATTCCCTTTGCCATCAGATGGTAACGCCACTGAAGTCATCTCTGATCTCTCAAAAGATTACACATCGGCTCATATCAAGTTGATTGGCATAAAATTATACTGTCGTGATAACGGGTTGAATTTGACGTTGAGTAGTGACGATAATGAGGGTATTAGTGTCGGCGACGTCACAGGTGGCATGGTGAATTTCGCCCGTGTTCATAACAGCGCTGACGGTGATATTGATGGCCCTGGTAATAAAATTCATGATAACGAAGATGATGATTTCAACAATAATAATGACCGACACAACGGTGACAATGTTGATGAAGAAGAAAAATTTAACACTGATGATGAGGACAGGAACACCAGCACTACGGCTGCAACAACAAATATGACTAACAGCATTCCACTAATGCGCAACAAAAGATTCGCTGGTGAAGAAAATGTCGATACAAACATCTACAACATCTCAGGCATTATAGACAACACTAACATCGAAACCTCTTACAACCATTACCGAGTGGCTCTGAGTTATCGAATGACGTATGATGTGGCTGGTGGCAACCTCACTGTGGATGTGAACGAGAAGTTTGACGATGATGTCGTTGCAAATGTTGCTGGCCTGAAAGAACAAATTGTGGAAAGCATCGCTCGACACTTGCCCAAGGTTAGGTTCAACATTTTTTGGTGCAGAATGTTTAGACTAAATTTCCGACAAATATGAAAAGTATCTAACTGAATGGCAACGTCTCATGGCAGGAAGTCGACGAGTCAGCTATCATGCATGACGAGACGCTGTACGAATCTGATGAATGTCAAGGTCAACTGGTTGTTGGAGGCAGTGGTCAACTCTTCTGCTGTATGTTGTTTCCTGTACCATTCTTTTACTACTCAATTTTTAATTGACAGATTTTAGTTGTCTCTAATAATATAGATCTTTGATGTATTTTCGTTCGTTCAATCAGCAACATAAGTAAAAAAACATTCACTCAGTATTGACGTAATTACATTAATTTTTTATTTATTATAGACAAAATTCATGTATCTTAAACATTAGAAAAGGTACAAACTAAATTTTGACATCAATCTCAGACATATATTTATTATATTGTGTTTTATTTTTAACCTTAACATCAGACCATTGTCCTAGAGGTTCCTACAAGCACCCAGACACCAAAATGTGCACTCTCTGTCCAAAAGGTACTTACCAACATCAAGCCAACCAAACTTCCTGCATCCCATGTCCCACGAACACAACAACTCTCTACATAGGATCGTACGACGGATCTTTCTGCGTGCAGATGTGTGCACCAGGATTCTTCTCTAGTACTGGATATGAAAATTGTTCCGAGTGTGCGGAGAATTATTATCAGGATGAATGGGGAATGGTGAAATGTAAGAAATGTCCTGAAGGAACCTTTTCTCTGCGAGGCAGTGATGATGTTGGCGTGTGCAGAGGTCGGTTTCGCATCTCTCAACAATGCATTATGTTGTCTTAATTCCTATTTGATTTATTTATTAAAAGTATTAAAAATATATTTACACTAAAAACGAAACATTCATTTAAAATTCAATTATACAACGAATTCGAACGGTGAACATTGATCTATTAAATTGATGTAGAGCTTTGTCCGGCGCACACATTCAGTTCGACAGGTCTCCAACCCTGCACTCCATGTCAGTTCAACACTCACCAACCATTTGTTGGCAAGCGGAATTGTTCCAAATGCGAAGTAGATTATGACGCGAGATCCTTCATAATATCTGACTACTGTCCAAGTCTGTTCGTCCACGCTCAAATTAACTAAATTTTACACTAATTTACCAAATAAGGAATCATTTTAAAAATTAGGATCATTTGTGTCAATTTGTTGCTCGATAATTTAGTTGTTTAATTAATGTTGATGTTGATGCTAATGTTGATTGTTTGGCACATCAGTATGTTATCATTATGTTCTCGACGTACAGGACCCATCAAATGTCCAACAAATGTCTTGTGCTCCGTCACGTCAACCGATGATGGCCAAAACAACAACAACAGTAGCAACAACATCAACGACAACAACAAGAACAGTAGTAGCGGCAACAAGGCAGTTACATCAAGCAACACCGGCAAGGCTGACAGTTGTTTGTCCTGGCAAGATGAGATCTACTGTGACTGCCCTCCTGGATTCACAGGTAGGTCCAGGCACATGAATATTTACAAATTTTTTGTTGTTTTATTTAAAAAAATCTAAATAATGAAATATTAAATATTGATTTCAAATATTTTTCAATTAACTTATTTAATTAAAAATTAAATTCATCTAATAAATGTGACCTGACATAAGGGAGGAGATGTGAGGTGGATGTAGATGATTGCCAGAACTCCCCCTGTCTGAATGGGGCTACATGCGTCGATGGTCCTAACAGTTACACGTGCATGTGTAACGACGGATTTTCAGGTGTGTGTGTGTGTGTGTGTGTGTGTGTGTGTGTGTGTGTGTGTGTGGTGATAGGTGTATCTACAAGTGTGTGTGTGTTTGGTGTGTGTGTGTGTGCGCGCGCGCGCGTCATATGTACAAGTGTAAGCTGAGCTCTTAATTAATTTTAGGATTTTTCAAAGTGCTTTAAAAATTAGATGTTGCTATATTGTTGATAGCAATAGAAATAAAACAATATCGTTGTTGACTGACTCAGCTGACTGAATCATGTTGAAATCGTTAACATGAGTGATAGTAAAGATTATTATAATAATACAATTAAAAGATAATAATAATAGTAATTAAGACGATAGTGACGCCAAACAACCAACCACTAACGTACAGGCCTCAATTGTTCAGACGACGTGAACGAATGTTCATTCAAGTTTTGTCAGCACGGAGGCACCTGCGTGAACACCATTGGATCGGCTGTGTGTTCGTGCTCGCCTGGCTTCACTGGTGGGTTTGTTGGCGGTCTTGATAGAAGGATGACCATGATGGCTTTTAATGACGATGCAATCTGAAAGGCGTGAAGTTAATTGGATGAAAGCAACTTAAAGTGTTTATTATTATAAGATGTCTTCATCTAAATACTAAAATTTTGTGCCAGATTAGGAGATATAAATTTATGTAAATTATGTTTCATTCAAATTCGATTCTTGAGTGCATAAATTTTATAGAAAGCTGACAGTGCTTGCCATGTGATTCAGTACATAAGAGCACCTTTTGTGTTTATGAAAATGATTTAAACACAATTATAGATGCAGTTAATATTCTCATCGTTATGTTCATTTTAATCATCATCATCATCACCACCACCATCATCACACATTTAGGTCTCAGATGTGAGCATGATGTTGATGATTGTCAGCATGCAAACTGCTCAAATGGCGTGTGTGTGGACGGTGTTAATGGCTACACATGCCTCTGTAACCATGGTTACCAAGGTTCTTTCTACGCTTTGAAATCTTTTTCGTACTATTTAGTTTAGAATTTGTGAATTTTTGAGATTTTTATATTAAGTAACGTTTGTTTGTGAATCAGTTTTGTATCTGAGCGTGATTAAAACTAAAAAAATACAGTAGATGTAAAACTTTGTTTAAAATGCGTTTTGATTCTTCTGAACATCATTAACAGCAACAAAAAATTATTTGGTCCTGGCAGTTGGTGCTTTCGATTTTTAGCACGTTAAACTGGTTTTCAGATTTCAGAATCACTTTATTTCTTCAAACCATACGCATCAATTTAACAAATTCATTGAAAACAAAAGGTGAGCACTGTGATGTGATGTCCACTCCTTGTTCGTCTGCACCATGTGTCAATGGAGGAACGTGTGTCGAGAATTTCGATGAATATACATGTCTGTGTCCCCTGTCTTATGCTGGTTGGTTGGCTAGCTGGTTGGTTTGTCGGTTGGCTGGTCGGTCGGTTGGTTGCCTGGTTGATTGATTAATTAATTATACTTTATTGTTAAATTGTTTTGAACTATTTAATTTTTGCTTACCACTCACCCAAACATTAATAAAATCTTACCATCAAACATTTCAAACAGCTTACAAATCATTTTACAAGCGCACAATTAGTAAAGCATCAACCATGCAAACATGTAGGTAGCAACTGCGAATTTCTGCAACACTACTGCGAGCCGAATCCCTGCCAAAACAACGGGTCATGTACATCCCTCGAGCGTGGCCACCACTGCAAATGTATAGAACATTATGCTGGCACTGACTGCTCAGAAAGTAAGTAACAATGTAGTTGATCGTTTGTTGGTGCATGCGTTTGGTTTCATGCGTCTTCTTGACATGTATATATATATATATAATTATAGAAATTTTATTTATAATAATGTTAATACGAAGTTGGTGGTACCAAGGTCTGTTACTGAATAAAAAATAATTTCTGCAAAACTGCGTAACCATCAGCAATGGATGCCGATCAAGATCTCGTTTTTGAAGGTCCTTCACCTCACCACGATCTGACCTTGAACTACGTACCTCTCCACTTGTGGAAAGATGTCTCAGAGTTTACCAGCTGTCTCTGGCTCAGAGTGGAAGAAGTTGGTGCTGCTCCAATCTGGTCCTACGCTCATCCAGATAGAAATGATGTGTTTGTGCTGGAGATTGCAAACAGTTTCGTCGTACGTGCTTATAAATATATTATAGCATATATACAATATATTTAACAGTCAATTTTTTAAGCTAGTTAATTTATTAAATTAAGCTCTAGCAAAGAGTTGAATTAAGAAATGTTGAATTTTGTCTAAATGCCTTTTATAGTTCTCTAATAACGTCTGCCTAACACAAAATTTGAGTAAGGTTGAAATTTGTATGTTAACTAAAATTTGAATCAACATCTGCAAAATATATCAATTGAATCTCAGAAATTTTTTAAATTTTTTACAATAAAAAAGTGACTGAAAAATGTTTTCATTCCAGTTAAGAGTAGACGGAAGAACAATTGACATGAAGGTCTTTCCGACTCTTCATCAGTGGCACCACGTCTGTCTGGCCTGGCTACATGGCAACATCAGTAGTAACAGTAGTGTTGCCAGTAGCAATAATAATAATAATAATAATAATTCATATGACGATAACAACATCGGCTCCGTTTGGTGGTTTTACGTCAATGCAACTCTCTGGAAGCATGGAATATTCAACAGGAAGAAAGAAATGATGAAAAAGGAAGGGGAACTTATGATTGGTCGATACTTATTTAGTTTATTTTTTGAACTCTTCTCTTTTATGATTTTATACTTTCATTCAATATTGCTAAAGATTATTATTTTCAAAAACAATTCATTTGTTTAACGTATTTTTCATTGGCGCACATACCAAAATGTATTTGCTATCCTTAATTTCAGGCGCCAAAAATGAACCCTCTTCCGATAACACCAAACTTTTCAACAATTCATCCATTCCAACTTCAAAAAACTTATTTTTCCGCGGAGAAATCAGCGGTTTTATCTTGCACGATAAAATTCTTTTTAAAGAAAGCATCAAAAGGATGAGCGAAGATGGCGAATGCCATCATTTTCATGCTGGAGTGTTTTCCTGGCTGGATGTCTTGGCGGCCAGTCGGGGAAATGTGCAGCTTAGGAATATGTCGATGTGTTTGGGTGAGTTGTTGAGTTTTCTTTTATAATTTTTAAAGTTTGAATCAACGTTATTCAATTTTAATTCAGATATAAACGAGTGCAGAATGTCCAACTCATTTCAGTGTCCACCCGGCACGAAGTGCGTTGATGTTCTAAAAGGTTAGTTATTGGAATTCCGAAATTAAAACTTCCTAACAACTATTATTAAACTATTGAAATCATCAACTTTTACCAAACATCACCAAATTTTTCGAAGGTGCCACCTGTCCGCCATGCAGTCCAGCCGACTACCTCATCCCTAAGTCCGATTGTTACAAACAAAAACACGCCTGTCGCTACAACAATCCCTGCAGAAACAATGCGGAGTGCCGTAACACCAACGACACTCACGTCACGTGCCACTGCAAACCGGGGTTTCGAGGGGTGCACTGCGAGGATTACGTATACAGTGACGTCACAGCAGGAAAAATGAAATGTGCTGATGTCAACTGCAATAATGGTCGGTGCGTAGAAAACAAAGATGGAGGTGTCAGATGTGCCTGCGAACAGGGATGGGTTGGGGCGTACTGCCATGTTAGTGATCATATCAAGTTACTAAATCGCATCTAAATAATATTTATTTATAATAATTATAAATTGTCGGCAGTTGATGATAAAATAATTTTCATTCAAAACTTTGTAGGTGATGCTGGAATCTTCTTGTGACTTCCAGCCATGCAGCAACGGAGGAACGTGCGTGTCTCTACATGATCCATTCCACAATCTACTGATCAACATTTCATCTGACAGACACGCTCCGACCACAACGATATATACAAATCATCTTGAAAACTCAGCAAACGCAACAGCAGAAAAGATTGAAATGAAAAATGAATCAAATTTGAATTGGAAAACAACTGTACCCTCAACAACGCCAGCTTATCACAGGTTGACAAACACAACTCATCTTTCATACATCTGTATTTGTCCAGCTTCAGATGTTCCACTAGACCACAACTGCAAACAGCCCTCCATCTGTTCGTCTTTATCTCCATGTCAAAACAATGGAACGTGTTTGGCAGGCAGTGGTGCTGCTACTGCGACAGAGGCGAGCGATGAAAGCTTCCAATGCATCTGTGCTGATGGCTTCCATGGCGATTTTTGCGAATTAATTAATCCAAGTGGTGTTTCAGGTTGTGAAAAACGCTCTTAACACTTCATATTTAATTTGCTTTAAATGTTTCAATTTTGTATTTACGTATCTACTAGTAGGCCTACTTGCTGTTAGGTTTCTCGTATAATGAAAATAATTTTTCACTGCTCATTACAACTGGTTGATCATTGACATAAATATAATTAAATATTAAATTATCATATGAATTTATTTCTGCTCTCATAATAATTTAATGTAAATGAATGCAGATTTGGACGAGGAGAAGCACTCGCAGACGACAATCATCTGCACGTCCATACTGGCCACCCTCCTAATATGTTTGATCGTCATCGGCTTCCTCATTATAAGGAATAAAAAGAAAGATAAGAGGTAAGCATGCGTTTTGAAATAATAGATTAACCATTTTTTACTTGTAGAGACAATGCATTCAGTTTTTTAAATGTTCGTTTTACGCAAACTTTTAAATGCCGGTTTAGTTTATGATATCATAAAATTTCAATCCAACACTAAAACATGCAATAATTCTTAGTTACCATGGTTACCATCAATCGATTGATCAATCGATAGATTGATCGGTCAATCAATCAATTAATCAATCAATCATTCAATCTAATCAATCAGTCAATCAATCAGTTAATCATTCAGTCAGTCAATCAATCAATCAATCAGAACTCTTCAAGAACTGAACAGCCAGTCAATGCGGATGAGCAATCCAATGTACCAGTTTGATGGGCAGACTATCAGCACAAACAACATGTCAAATCCCGTTCTAGAAGGTGCAGCAACTAATTACATCTTAATTAATGTCCAAAGTATCTATTAGTTTTAATATGAAAATCACCAATTTAACGCTGATTCAGAGAGTGTCTACTGCGAGCCAATTATTCCCTACGCAACATCTGAAGATTCTGAGAAGGAAAGTAGCGATCTGGAGGATTCATGCAACAGGAGGTTCAGAATGAGACCTCGTGACCTCGCGAGGCAGAGCATTCCACTACCTCCTCAACCATCATCCGCCTCCAGCACTCTCGGTTCGTTGGTTATTCAAATTTAAAAAATTATACGTTTGTATTATGACCTGTTTTATTAGCCAGCAATTGTTTATATGAGAAAAACAAAAATAAAAATGTAGGTGGAAGGTCGATGATATCACTGCTCAGCAAATCATCTTCTACAGACATTCATCGATCCACACCGCCTCCGCCCTATTATCCATCCAGATTCTGGGACTCAAAAAAAGATTTCAACAAAATCGTCATCCCGGACATCGGGGCTTCAAACTATTCTCTCAAGTCATCCAATCAGAGTTTGAAAATTAAAATTGAGCCTAGCTACAAAAACGATAATTTTTTGGAAAATTCTTATGTGCCCTCCTACATCACTCCATTAAGCGATGAAGAAATTTCAGAGAGTTTGAAGGAAAGCGGCAACAAAAATGATGAAGAATCGTCATATTTATTACCGAAGCCAGAAGAAATCGAGATGAAGACAATATCGTTGACAGAAGAATCGAAAGAAGAGGAAGAGGCAGTTAATGATAAATTAATCGACGACTCTGTTTAAAATATATTAGTTCTTTTTTGATGTTTTTTATCGATATTTATTATTTTGTTTTTACAATATGCAAACTCTTGTAGGACTTTTTATTATTACGATTTTATTTTGGACTGAAGATTGTTTTCTTTACTGTGATAATTTGTTTATACTTGAATAAATTACTCTATCAAGAACAAGAAATAAAAATGTTCAAACTTCAAAGTTTTTATATTTAAATGAATGCCTCGTTGTAAGGCCAAGACGCTCGTTCGAAAGATTTTTTTAAAGCTAAGGAACACCTAGCACCACATCAAAACGGTTGCTCACCATTTGTGCCATAAATTAAGGATTTGGATTGGACGCAGTTCGTTTTGAATGGTATTTCAGTTTTGTACCGATACATTAAGTATTTATTCTTGAAACTTTCAACACGCAAGTTAAGTTGTTTTATTATAGCGTCGTGGTTTAAACCACATTGGTTTGTTAGCCGCATTTCAGTTTGATCCCAGCATGTCTATATCGATTGAACTAGATAGATACTAGATCGAAATCAATTTTCGTTAATATTAACGCTCTACGAGCAATACCCTTTTTGTACAATTTATTGATCATTTTTAATTTAAAATGATTAAAAGGTTGAGAAATAATTGTTTTTTTTAATAATTGCTATCGATTTCATTAAGACTGATTTTCTTAAAAGTTATCTAAAAATAAAGTGCAGGCAAATAACTTTTTGAAAAAAATTGAGTCATAAACATATAACAGAATGGAGCTGATTGAGAAAAATTCATTTTTATATTCGAATTCAGCGCTTCGAATACAGCTGAAATAAGTTTCATTCAGAGAAAATTATCTAAGACCAGTGCAATCCCAATCTAAGAATACCAGGATCCTGAAGTAGATGGTGCTGCAGTCGTTCGTTCACCGTTCAAATATCAAATAGCACATTGCTAATGTCAATGTAAACAAATGTTTTATTTTTAAAACTTAAATTTTAAAATGATAATAAAAATGGAACAACAAAATTTTTACAAACATCTTTAATTTTAAATTTTGATCAAGTTTCTTTCACCATGACTTCTATCTATTTATTGTACTTAATTGGGTTTTTGGTGAGTTTAACAGCAGTTTAACTGTTAAACTTTAACATTATTCTTATTGTCATGTAGTGTTCTCTTCTGTTGTTATTAAACTTGATTTTGAAACACTATCTGCAGTTTATGACACTGCAGGAAAACATGGCACGCGATGCATTATTTTATATTTATTTATGCAAAGGTGTTTGATTTTTGCTGAAGACACAGCACAGATTTTAACTTGGGAAACACATTTGATATTTGAGTGAATTTGTTTTTAAAAATATTCTGTTTATTTTATAATTATTATATTATATATATATAATTTGTTATATTTTCAACTTCAATCTTCTTAGGACTTAAATATCTAAATTTTAATTAATTTAGTCAATAAATCAGTTTAATTTATGTTTTTATAAGGATTTGTTTGGAGTTAGTATGGTGATTCCATTGCTGGTCAAACACTGCAAGACACTGGGTGCCTCTCCATTTACTGCTGGAATCATTGGTTTAGTTATTTAGTAATTACTTTTTTCTAACAAATTTGATTGTGATGCATGTTGTTTTGTAAGTTTGTTCTTAAGTAAGTTAATTCATTATCTGTTTTAAATTTAAAATGTATTCTTTATCTTAAGGGATGTTATTGGTGATGGCTGTTGTACAATAATATTTAAGAACTTTCATTTTTATATTACAGGTTCAACATATGGTCTAATACAATTTTTTTCTGGACCAATTATTGTAAGTCACATTTAATTAATTAAATCCTTTATAACATTATTGGTTGCTCAAATACAAGTTTTTCACATTGCAGGGAAAATATAGTGATCAGTATGGTAGGAAGTTAATGTTGCAAATGTGCTTTTTGACCAGCATTTTTAGTTACTTGTTGCTGGGATCATCCAATCATCTTTTGGTTGTTTTCTTGTCAAGAATTCCCATTGGTTAGTTTTTGATGGCTGAATGGAACAATTTCAATTGCATTCATTGGTTGATCATAAATTATTTATGGTTATGAAAACATTTATTGTGAGAAGATGGCCGTTTGTACTCCAGTTAGGACAACAATTACTGTGACATTATTTGAAGCATTTTTACATTACTGTCCTGCTATGATAAGATTCAAGTGTACGTTGAAATATATCTATACAAATGAAGTAAAAAAATTAATTGAAGTTTTTAAGCAATAAATGATATTTATATTAAGTTGGGGGTTTTCATTCATGCATAAATTAGCCTTACTAATTTGTATATTAAAGATGCAATTATTTTCTTTAGGAATCTTCAAACATTGCCAAGAACTTTCTAAGTGTCTCATAGCTGATACTGTCACAGTGAAGGAAAGAAGTAGTGTGTTTGGTAAATTCAATTCTATATCCAACATTGGGTTCATATTTGGGCCTCTGGTTGGTAGCTACTTGTATGAGCAAGGTGGGGGCATTCATCACGTTACCTTTGCCACTTCCTTCCTCTTCATGATCAACTTGTGTTAGATGATTTTATATTATATTTATTTTATTCATCTTTGTTGAGTTGTATTTGCTGCTTTTTCAAATTAATTAATTACTGAAATGACTTCCATTTTCGTAACAAATATGTTCAAAAGCTGTTGTTAATTAATATTTATAAACCCATAACAGTTATCATCACTTTCCTCGTGCCTAAAGGAAAATATGCCACTGATGCCAAAACCCGTCGTCAGCTGAATAATCAGAGCATGCTTTCCTTTCTTCAACGTATCACATCTTGGAAATTTATGTCATGTATTTGGGTGATACTTCTCATCAGATTCCTCCTATCATTTTCAAACTTCATTTATCGTTATGATCTAGCTTCAACTCTTGGTGCTAAAAAAATTGGCATCATCATGTCGTTTTCAGGTTCTGTCTCGGCCATTTCAGGGTTTTTCACAGGCGCAATAGTTCAGTTATATTCTGGCGACCATAAAAAACTCCTGTTGCACATTTCCTTAATACAAGCAGTCTGCATAGCTGTACTGACCATGTATGAGGAGTTATGGTTACAACTACTATTCACCGTTCCATTAAGCGTTGTTAACGCACTAGCAAGAGTTGTGGCTGTTAGTATGACCATAGATTTGGCAAAAAAGAAAGATTTAGGAGTTGTTGCCGGATTAGGAAGTAGCACCATTGCCATCAGCCGGTTTCTGGCACCGTTGGCGGGTGGGCTGGTCCAAGAAGTTTATCTCAGTGGTCCTGGATACGTTGGAGCCATGGTGTCCTTATTATCCGCCATTTTTGTTGGGCTCGTTGATAAAGTTAAAGTGTGCAAAAGATTAGACTGAATTTTTTCTCGAAATTCATTCTTCTTCCGAAATTAGTTTATTGCATTTTATTTTAGTTCTTGGCATTTCATTATTTTTGTTATATTGTTCAAAGTCAACAAATAGTAAAGCATTCATTTTGCTTGATATTTTTTGGAAAACTGTTAATAAACCTTATCATAAATCTTGTTGCTGCATTGTTCACGAAATACTTGATTTCTCATTTTAATAATTTTTATTCGTATCTTATATGATCTTAACACGTGCCTTTACATATTATTGTTGATCAAATACATTTTAATAACTTGTTTTTGCATGATATTCACATTTTTAGGTAATTTCTACGTAACAGCATATTATATTTTACGTACATTTTTTTCAATGTTTGTTTATTGTCTACAGTGATATTATTGTTGTGAGTTATATTTTTAAAAAATCGCAACACAAAGCACAAATTGTGGTTTGATGGTTTTAGACCAGGTTGTAGTTATAAACAGTGTCGTAGATTTTTGTCTGACTCAAAGTGGCATATTTCTCATCCGACTTCGACACACTGGTTATAAAGCCTCTTGATCAACGTATCCGAATGTAATTGGAGAAATTTCTACTAACAACTCTTTGAATTCTACATATTTCAATTTAAATGTTTAGTAGCCAGCATAATGTCTTATTAATATTTACATAGTGGATGCAAGCTCCAGTTTTCTAATAACTTAATGATATCCGTTTTTACTTAATTCAGTTTCGCGATTACTGTACATAGTGAGCATGATAGACATTGAAGTCTGAGTTATGTCGTAGGCTATATATATATGGTCGTAGGTATCTCAATGATAAGAGATGGAAATGGAATAATTCATGGTGTGTGTTTCATTTCTAAGATTGATTGTTTTTTTATTAAAAAAATTTCATAAAATTATTTCAACCACTTTCCTGTTAATTATTGAGCTTTTTTATATCACGTCATTAAAGTGAAATTTAAACTGATAATGCTTCTGGTTTAGTCAAGTCAAAGCCATTGAGTCAAAGATTAAAACGAGCTTTTATTTTAATGTGATTACACCAACTGATTTGTCATTTTAGGCCTCTTTTCAACAAGACACGTCCATTATAATTGGTACAGCAATCAACCATTTACTGACCTGTGGATCTCAACCATGGATATATATATATCCGTGATCTCAACAGCCAAAACAATAAAACGTACTGGTGATTGGTATAGCTCAATTCTTATTTGTAAACCATATACTTAGAATAAACCATATGTGGAATAAACTAACAAAAGTTTCAACAATAATAAAAAATTAAATTTTGCAAGTTTGAAAAAATTTTCACCACATTGCTTTTATTTTATAATTAATTGTAAATAATAAAGTATTTGTGAATTAATTTGTGAATTGTGAATAATTAATTGTAAATAATGAAGAATTTGTGTTTATATTATAATTTAACATTTAAATAATTTTATATATCGCTCTGTAAACAATATTTTTAATTTTAGCATGAGCGCCTGTTTCACGCCAAAGATTAGGCAGGTTGAATGTGTGGATTCGTCGGGGTATACTGATTTTGTGCATGTCTTCAAAACTCAACTCTATCAGAAGGTATGACAAACATAAATTAAATTTAATTTGTCCATATAATATTCAATTGTCACCATGAGCATGACAGATGAGATGACAGACATCATCCAATTTAATATTTTAATTTAATTAATTAACTGTTATTAACAACACATTAATAATCTATTATTTTAAAACATTAAGTCAAGACAATTAAGAAAAAGTCTTATTAAATCTAACTAAAACAAATGAACATGACTTATTAATATTTAAGACTACTTATAATTTATTTTATATTATATACTATACTATTATAGTATAAGTCTCAGAACAGAAGATTTTTTCAATTGTTACTTTTTAATTTTAATTAATAATTAATTAATATTAATTAAACTAAAAATGAAAACCAACTTTTTTATTATTATTATCTGTCAAATGCAGAGCTGCTCAGATGTTATTCTATACTTGTAATCAATCTTTTGTGCCACAAAGGCTGTAGCACTCACACCACACATTGCACACACACATCATGTATGCACATCAAACAGACAGTATTTGAATCATGCCATCTAGTTATAGCAGCCCAAGACATGGCACTTCTACCGACTGAGCTAACTCAATGACTTAGCTGACAGTAATATTTATCAATCAAAATCTGTTTAATTATTTTTATTATCAAAAGAAAAATTGTCATGTCATTAATGTTTTGCTAACTGTATACAAATTACAAGAGTTATATGAAATAATAATTATTAATTCTTTTTTATTGTAATTTTAATTTTTGTAGAGGGTGCCTTTGGTTATTAAGTCCTTAAATATTGGAAGCTGTGTTGAAAACTGGAGTTGGAAATATTTGAAAGAGAAATGGCCTGACAAGGTAGTGAAACTTCATGTCAGCACATCTGAGCAACTCAATTTCATTGCAAAAAATTTCTCCTACCAGTTAGTTAATTTTTATTTAAACCTTTGTTCTATTTTTGTTTTGTTTGATTGAATAAAAGTGATTTGATTTGAAAAGTGATTTTTGTTCAATGAAATGATTTTTTCATTTATATATTTGAGATTTTGTTTAAACTTAGGTCAATGCCATTTAGCGAATTTATAGACAATCTTGAAAAACAAGATTCTGGCGATTGTTCTCGTGTAAGTTTTTTTTATTTTAAACTGGGTGTGTAATATTTGTTCGTTTGTACTACAGTACAATGCACAATATTTTTCTTTATTCACATTCATCTTGAAGTTGGAATAAAGTATGTGTTAGATGAAGTTTTGAAACATTAACTCTAGGTTTCACTTGAATTATGATATTTTGTTAACCAGTAAAATTTTCAAAATATTTTTTGAAGATAGAAAAATATTACCTAAGAAGTCTTGGTAACGATCCTCGAAAGGATGTGTGTGACATATACAAACACTTCCCTGAGTTATCAGACGACATAAATTTTCCAGATATGTTTGAGAAGGAGCAAATTTATTCGAGCGTGTTCAGGATTGCATCGAAAGGTGTTCAACTCTGGACCCACTATGATGTTGGTGAAGTTGGAGTACGTTGTTTATTTGTGACGCGTGAGTAATTGAATTGACTATTTTATTTATTTAAACTACAAAATTCATCGAATCTAACGCAAAATATACTGTTAATTCAAGAAAATCGCAAAATTCAATCAAAAATCGAAATAGCCTACATCTCTCACACTCCAGACAGCTATGACCGAGTTTACTCAGTCAGTGCACCAGTATCACGTGACGGTCACAATCAGTCAGTGAGCTCATATCGCCGGCTTGCTAATTATGTCACGATTGTTCAAACCATGACATTCGTTTAAATGTTTACCTGAAATAATTTACAAAACTTTCGCCCGAAACTTCCTCAGATTATGGACAACATATTAGTGCAAGTGAAAGGTAGGAAGAGGATCACGTTGTTCTCCCCAGAAGATGTAGATCACTTGTACTTAAACGGTTTCGTCTCAGTTTTGTCTCATATATTTATTATTTAAATAATATATCCTGAAAATTTATTCAAGTGTTTGGGTAGATTTGCTTCCTGTTTCACACTTGAATGATAAAAATAATTTAAATATATTTACGAACCAATGCATGGAGCAGGCGACAAATCAGAAGTGATTGACATTGAGAATGCAGACTTGAAGAGGCACCCCCTATTTGCAGAGGTCGTTCACCACCAATGCCATCTGGATGGTGGAGATGTTCTCTTCATTCCTGGTTTGTGTTTTCCTCTCGCATTGCTATCAGTTGCTGTTTATGTTATTATTACTATTTATAATAATTACCATTTTTTGATTTTCTCTTTCTAATAATTACAATTGAATTCATGCTCCAGACAACCATCTAACGTAGAATTAAACGTCTTTCTCAGTTGTTAACCGTTGAAAGAATGTCGTAATGAGTGTAATCCATTACTTATTTTAGTTTTGTGTTATTTAAAATTATCATCTCGTTTAATTTTCTCTCTACGCCATTTTAGCTCTGTGGTTTCATAACGTGATAAATGAAACCTCAACAATCTCGGTCAACATTTTCTGGCGCCACCTGCCAGCAGAATTTTACGACTCCTCAGATGTTTACGGCAACAAAGACCTTCTGATCGCCAATTCGGCTGAGAGTATCGTGGACAGGGTCATTAAAAAAATCAACACCCTGCCACCAATCTATAAAGAGTTCTACACGAGAAGATTTGTCAACAAAATAAAGGACAAGTGTCTATGATTATGACTTTTTTCTGTTTTAAATTAGTAAAAATAAATTGTAAAAATAAAATAAATTCTATTAATGAAAATATTGATGTAAAATAATGTGGGTGGATGTTGTTTTTGATTGGATCAGATGTATACCAACTGCGGCGTTAAATATAAGAAGCGTCCGGATTTTATAAACTGGACACATTACAGTCCCATTTTGCGTAAAAAATTACCGAGTGAACTGAAGTCGCGGAAAACGAAGTCGTTTAATTTGGTGCGTTGTTTCGTTCGACCATGCTGTTTTATTTTAGAAACTTGTCTCTTCCGACATCACAGCGTTTTTTAAATTTCATAAAGTCAAATATAAATACCGTTCTGATTAAAAGTCGCTTCGCAAGAAAAAAATTGATTTGAAAAATAGTTTTCATTGAAAATATTGCCATCAAAATGACGCGTCTTTATCTCTTTAAAAACTGCTGGCCATATGTTTTTCATGTTCCTCAAAGTCGTAGTAATCATTCTGACAATCTCATTATAAGTTGCAAGCTGCGAGCCTTATCGTTCAGCAGACTAAAATTTATTTAATTGTATCGCAACCGAACAAGATTTAGTACTGCCAAGTCATGTACATGGAAGAAAAAACTGGTGGCGTCATTCACAGCAGCTTCGTTTGGGCAAAATCTCAAAAAGATTTTTTGTGAAAACAAATACGACTGTCGCTACAAATTATAATTATAATAAGTTATAATAATATTATAATTATAATAAAATTATAATAAGTTTTTTATTACTTATTGCTAACTTTTTTTACATGAATATGCAAATGTCGATTAAAGACACCATTGGTAGGTAAGAGAACAACGAGAGACCTCTTTGCTCTAGGAGTCTGTCATGTTTGTACACACACACCACACACACACGTGTATATCATTATTATTATTATTATATATAACACAAAATATGCTGATGTGTAAATATCCAATATATGTTTAATAACAGATTCGAAATAGTTGCAAGAAACAGATTAGCAACATCTGATTAAGTACATTCCAACAATTCTTAATTTCTCGCGGTGGCGATAATAGTTCTTACATTTAATTGGAATGAAATTTGGTATTTAACAATGCAGTTGTTTGTAGTAGAAGTAGTAGCGCTAACTACTACTAATTTTTGCGTTGGTGGTTTCGAACGCAGTGTTAGTGACAAAAGTAAAGTAAAATTCTGTTTTTATTTCACTGAATTTCGTTCTCTCAGCGACTAAACTGATAAATTTAAAAGCCAGGTCTTTAGGTCGGGTCTACGGGTGGAATTAATGATACGTACCTATATGTTCGCACACACACACGCTTAAAGATACGCACCTATATGTTCACACACACACAAACACACACACACGTATATACATTACACTAAATAATAAACACACAATAACAATATCCTATATCTTTTAACCCAGCATGACTTCCTATTAACGTTAACGAGTATGACGGAGTAAGGAAAGTTAAACATGTCACAATTTGTACCTAATCAAATACGTGGTAGATCTAATAAGTTATCTCAATTTTCAGTTACTTTAGTGGATAAATACTTTTTGTGACGAACATAGTTGTAGCACCATCGCTAACAAGTAAAATATCAAAAACATTATTATTGAAAAAATTATAGTTATGTATGCTGTCTCGTCTTGTTGTTTTTGTCAATGTTACATTGGTGATTAACTTCTAGTTTGTTAAGATAGTTGACGCAAAATTCAGCCTTCTAAGACGACATTTAATTAACAATAATCATAAAAAAATAAGACTGTGAATTTATAATAATAATAATAATAAAACTTATATTTTAATTGTTGTTAGGTGTTTGTAGGAAAGTAATAATTACGCAGCTAAGGAATAATTTTATAATTACGCTGATAATTACCATGAACCCATTCATAACGTTGGTTGGCTGCTGACGTGTTTATAAATTAATAATTATTATTATTACTGATGTTATAATTACTATTATTATTATTATTGTTATTGTTGTTATTAATATTTCTTAATTATTATTCTTATTGTTAGGTTGTTGCTATTAATTACCTTTGCGTCGCTTGTGGCCGATCACATTAATGACATTGTGCTGTTGATGCAGTAAATATTATTAATATTAATGATATTGTAATAAATAATATATAAATTATCATTATAAGATTTAATATTATTTATTTATTTATTTATTGTTTTATTTATTTATTTATTACATGACTGATCAGAGGACCACAAGGACCACTCACCCAGTTCAGAAAAAAGAAAAAAAAGAAAATTAAACAAATTAACATTACAAAACATTTAAAAAAGTCACGTTAATTTTTAATATTATTAATATTATGTTTATTATTATTATATTATTATATATTATATTATTATTATTATAGATTATTATTATTGATGTTAGAATCATAACGTAATATTTAGACAATTGCTGTTTTGGCTGATGTTAATTATTATTATTAATGCAAAGTTTGCAATGTGATTCGATGGTTACCGTAAAATACTTAACATATGCGTTTTACTACCTCCTCACTCATTAAAATTGCATTTGCACAGAAACAGTATTAACAATTTCTCGTGTTATATAATTCAACTCTACGTATTACTTAGCCTCGGGTGTCACCATTATCACACACGCACACACCACACGCACACACACACACACACACACACACACACACACATATATATATATATATATATATATATTGTTTAACTTTAGATTTGAAATATCCAAGCAAGATGGAACGATGAGTATTGAAATGATTTAATGGATTAAATTACATGGTGATGATTATGGTGATGAGGATTTAATGATGATGATTTCGATGATGATGTGGCCAATAATGGTGATGATGATGGTTGGTGGTGTCATTGATAATGTTCATGATGATGTTGATAACGATGATGAAGTTGGAGGTGGCGATGATGAAGCGTGCAAGCACGTCACGTAAAATGAACGCAGGTTTAATGATGGGGAGGAATAATTATGTGGTGGTATGTTTCCTTGAAATTGAGGAGAATATCTCGCTGCCTCTGCTGCTGTCGTTGGGAAAGTCATTAATTAATTAGTTAATTAATTGGTTATTACTCAAAAAATTGTTGAGAACATGAGTAACAATGTTAAAGTCATGTATTTATTTAATTTGTACTATATTAATTATTATTTTCATACCCATGTAAACGTTAATTATAATTACGATAGATTTATAGTTTTATTTATTTATTTATTATTTATATTTATTATTTTTATATTTATTTATAGATTTATAAAAATTTCATCTGTAACTTGACAAAACGAATTACGCAATTTTAAATCATCACATCTGCGTGTAATTATGCGTGCACTGAGTTGATGTGCTTGCGTGTATGTTTTATGTGTATGTTTGTTTATGTACTTGTCCGTGTGAATGTTCAAGTGAGCTTGCGTGCAAATAAGTTTGTATGTGTGCACATAAGTTTGTATGTGTTCACATGAGTTTGTATGCGTTTACTTACATTACATAAGTGTGTATATGTGTGTGTGTACTGTGCATATACGAGTTTGAGTATGTATGGGAGCTCCGCATGACAGCATCATCACAAGCAAGCTGGAGAATATCATGTGCTGTGCATGTGTGAACTCCACTGCTGAAATAGGCTTATTAACTGATATGTGGATCAGCATATCTAACAGCCAATCTATATCAACAATCAGCATATTTGCGTATCTCAAATGGAACCATATATTGGGTATATATATATATATACACATATATATAGTTTATATATATATAGTGTATACATAGATGTTGTGTGTATATATATATATAAAGAAAGAGAGAGAGAGAGAGAGACAAAGTGAGAAAGAAAGAGGGGAACATAACAGAGAAACAGAGAAATTGCGCGCGAAAGAGAAAGCGTGAGAAAGTATATGTATATGAGTTGCATACGTTCGTCATTCACAACAGTTACACACACACACACACACACACACACACACACACACACACACACACACACACACACACACACACACACACACTTCTTTACATCTTTTTCTTTCACACACACACATCACACACGTACAGACATCATCAAACACTCAGCATTAAGTAAACAATGGATTGTATGTACGCACAATGTTCGTTGTACGCATATACCGTGCACAATGGAGTCCATGGATACACGCATATCACTACAACATGCACACATATGTACATAATAATGATGTATGTAATGCGTGCATGCATGTATGCATATTTATCTATCATATTTTTCCTTTCCTATACATACAAAACATTGGCTATATCTTTATATATGCATATACAATGAATAATTATTTATAATATACATATAATTCACTGGCCCCTCCCGCTGTGAGCGATTTTTTTAATAAAGGCCAGAAAAAGGAATGTTTTGTGTGTAAAATCGACCAAAACCTGAACGAGATAAGAAAAAAAGGTCATCAGCCACACTACCACAAATCTTGGCTTCCTCCCTAAAAGTTTTAGCCATCCCCGTGAAACATTAAACACATACACTGCACATACACCACACACTAATATATATATATATATATATATATATATATATATATATATATATATATATATATATATATATATATATATATATATACGCTTCGTCTGTTTGTTTTATAACAGGTTTGGAAAGGTTTTTGGTTTTAACTCATCAGATCTTCTTTCGTGTTGCTTGTTATTATCCTAGGCTTGTTTCGTGATTTGTGATTAGCACAGATTATCATTTTTTTTATAATATTAATTATACATGTATGCATTGTACAGTGCGTCCATTTATATGATATTTTTATTAACTTTATTACATAAAAAAATATAATCAGCTGTTGTGTTTGAGAGAGATACGATACATAGATTGATAGATAGACAACAGAAAGATAGAGATACAGTATCATAAAGATAGAAGGTATCATTTACCACAAACAAAGTTAGTCGGTTGGTTCGTTTTATTTATTTCACAATATTATCATTATGTTACAAGTTACATGCTTCGTTTTTCTCCAGTATATGAACAACTGGATTGTTGAATTAATACGTTATATAAAATATATAATATTTTTTTAATATCGATACAACTTTCAGCGATTCTGGTACTATTTTTATTTTGTTTGTGCGCGTGAAAGTTTATATTAAATTTTGTTACCAGTTATCTGTCGTTGTAGTTTATAACGTATGGTAGTCACTCCTGCTGTCGTCAAAGTTTATTCTTAATTGGAGGAAGGATGTTTTCAGCTATAGGAGCATATTTCCAACATTTTCATCTAAGCTCTTGCGAAAGTTTTCGAAAAATAAACTTGTTACAGCATCATTTGCATTGCGGACCAACAATGCAACCCAGGTATCGTCAACTTCACTGGGATGAGACCACAGTCGTAAGCGTTTCTAAATCTAGTGACCATTTTTTCGTAATGAGGATTCGTTTCTGGCTCGTTACAAAAGAGTGCATCTCTCGACTTGTCTAAAGTCAGCAAACGTTTGTTCAACAAACGGTTCATTCTATTTTATTGCCTCACAAAGAGTGCCTCTGGGCTCGTTGTTGTTTTTGTTGGGCACAGTTCCTGTTTTGATCCCATGAGGATATACGATCTCACAGCAAAAAACACATGCATGCATGCATTCATGTACAGACGGAAAACATATAGAAATAAAATATAAAATACAGCCGAGTCGCTCAAAATGTTTACTCGTTTTTCAACCTGAAAAACCTACGAAAAAATTTTTGAGTACGGCATTACAAACATTAGATTACAAATGAAGATTACCGTGAACACACAAACACCCACCCCATCAATTTATTATTGAATTTTTATGTTATATTCATTAATAATTCAAATTGTTTATTTATAACACATTTTCAAGAGCAACCAGGCCAAAAGAAACTGAGAAACGTTTTGCAAATATGCTCAACTCAAATAACTTATGTTAGTATTGACTTTTTAAAATTGCTTTTCATTATGATTGTACATCGACTGAAATGTTAACACTATAAATAATTCAGGTGTAGCAATCCTAGCCACGATACTGCAGCTGGCTTGCCATGGCGACACGCTGAATGATGGGTCGGTGGCGACAGGCATTGGTGGCTCAGTGGTCGTCAGATGTAGTGGCGGATTCGTCCCCAGTGGCGAGTTATCGGTCAGTTCGCGAGAATTACTTTAATTTGTAGACGTCGCTCGTTGTGTTGTTGCTGGCAATCATCGACGAATTTATATTTAAATAACTTGTCCTGAATGATTCAGCCCACTTTGTGGAATCATACAATTCACTGCAGGTAAGCAAATGTAATATGTTTCTGAATTATTTAAAGGTGCACTGGCTAGGCCCTAGAAGTTTGTTGATTTCAATAAACGGAGAGATTCTCTACAGCGGACACGGCAACAAATACAGGATCAACAAAGTACACGAAGGCAACTATGAGCTGGTAGTTAATGATGTCAGTGAGAGTGACGCCGGTGAGTATGAGTGCAAGTTCGTCAACAAGCAAGGAGTGACTGTGCACTCCAAGCGAGTCAGGCTTAACATTAACGGTTTGTATTTTTCTTTAACCAATTTACGCTATTTTATTGTAAGAGCATTAAATATGACCATTGAATTTCCTATTACAGCATTTTAACGCGTGTAAAATTGTCGTTGAAACTGATACTTTTTGATATGGCTAAAAATAGTGAATAAAAAAAATTTAAGTAAAGTTTGTATTGTTGGTCTGATGTAATGTAATGAAGCGCACTGTTTAAAGAGATTGGAAAAACAAAAAGATGGCGGAGGGTAGAGAAAGAGAGAGAGAGAGAGAGAGAGAGAGAGAGAGAGAGAGAGAGAGAGAAAGCAAGATGGTGGAGGGTAAAGAGAGAGAGAGAGAAAGAAAGAAAAAGAGTAAGTGAAAGAATGAGAATGAAGTAGATTATTACGCATTGGTTATTGGTTATAATGTTTGCGTAAAAATTCAAATTTTTTTTTTTCGCCAGCTGTTGAACAATGTGTTAATATAAATTTTTCAAACATAGCTCCACCCAAGATTGTAACTCCAGAAATTCATGAAATGAAAGTATCCGAAGGCAGGTCGCTGACACTTTTTTGTAACTACTCCGGCTATCCGGAACCAACGGTTACCTGGAAGTTCAGAGCTGAAAACAACCAATTTAGCAGAAGTAGGATTAATGCTTGAAGCAAAATTTTCATTTAAATATATTTTTTCTCGTTGTTTTGTTAGCACTAAATATGTAAGATGTGCGTGTGTGTGTGTACGTGCGTGCTTGTGTGTGTGTAGTGTATGTAGTCTGTAAGACTACATACACTATTGCATACACTATTGCATAGACTCTTATTTCTAGTTACGTCACTCGGCTACTTTAATTTGTTGTGCACATTTATTTCTATTATTTAAAAAAATTTTGTGTGCGTTTTTTAAATTTAGAAATTTTTTAGCAATTTTTTTAATGCAAGAATGTAAAGAAGGTGACTCGAATGATTAATTCACTACAGGCATCGCCACGGATCAGTCCCAGATCAGTCTGTACAATGTCACACTGAAAGATGCAGGTGGTCATGAATGTGGAGTGTGAATTGTTGGGGATATAAATTGTTGGGAATGTGAATTGTTGGGGGATGTGAGTTGTTGGGGATGTGAATTGCTGGGATATAAATTGCTGGAGATATAAATTGTTGAATTGTTTGTACGTAATACGTATTGATTGGATACACATTTTTGTATGCATGCGTACTTTTATGAATTGACGTATAGATAGATGGATGGATAGATAGATGGATGAAGGGATGGATTGATTGATAGATAGATGGTTGGATGGGTGAATAGATGATCATCTTCATCATCAAAATCATTACACTCACGACATCATTATCGTGCTACCACCACCATCACCACCACCACTACCATCATCACCCCTACCACCACCACCATCATCATCATCGTCACCACCACAAAGGTCAGTACGAATGCCACGCCGACAACGGGGAGCGTCCACCAGCGTTCATCAGCTACACCATCTCGGTCACCTGTTCGTCCACAATTATTATATAATTATAATAATTAATAATTATTAATAATTATGATAACTAATAATTATAATAATAAATAATTATAATAATAATAATTATAATATCAATAATAATGACAATAGTAATAATCACCGTCATCATCCTCATAATCACCACCACCATCATCATCACCACCACCACCATCCTCCTCATCATCATCATCCTACCCTCCCAGCCGGCCCCCGCCTGCACACCCCCTACTCCCGCATCTACCAGAAGATCGGTCACCTCCTCCACATTCAGTGCATCGTCACGTGGAAACCTTCGGGTCGCTACTTTTGGGAGTTCCAGGATCTAAAAATAGTCACCGATGACTCGATAGGTGCTACTGGTAATGATGGTAATAATAATGACGATAAGAATGTTAGTATAACTCCCGGGAAATATGTGCTGTCTTCTAAAATCCCATCATCATCGCCACCATCATCTTCTTCAACATCGTCGTCATCATCACAATTGCAATCCAATGTCAAATACGTGACGTCAAGTTACAGCATCGACGAGCACACGACCATGCTCGGACTCTTCATTGACAATCTAGCACTCTCCGACGCCGGCTTCTACAGATGCAAGTTCCAAAATGAGTACGGCCAGTCGCAGGAGGCCATCGAAGTTGTCGGTCAGTTTGTTGGCTGGTCGGTGGGCTGGTCGGCAGGCTGGTCGGTTGGTTGGTCAGTTGGTTGGTCGGTTGGTTGGTCAGTTGGTTGGTCAATAGGTTGGCTGGTCGGTTGGTTGGTCAGTTGGTTGGTCGGTTGGTCAGATGGTTGGTCGGTTGGCTCGTCAGTTGGTCAGTTGGTTGGTCGGCTGGTCAGTTGGTTGGTCGGTTGGCTGGTCGGTTGGCTGATTGGTGGCTGGTTAGTTGGTTTGTTGGTCAGTTGGTTGGACGGTTGGCTGGTCGGTTGGTTGGTCGGTTGATTGGTTGGTCAGTTGGTTGGCTGTTCGGTTGGTTGGTCAGTTGGTTAGTTGGTTGGTCGGTTGATTGGTCAGTTTGTTGGTCGGTTGGTCAGTTGGTTGGTTAACTGGTCAGTTGGTTGATTGATTGGTTGGTTATTTGTATGGTTGGCTGGTTTGTTGGTTATTTGGTTGTCTGAATTGTTTATTGGCTAAATGTTTTGCTTGCTGATTGGTTAGATGGCTGGCTGGCTGATTGGCTAGTTGATTGGCTGATTGGCTAGCTGACTGGTTCATGGTTTGTCGGTTTTATCTCTCAATTTGTCGTTTGATTGAATTGTTGATTAATTTTTGGGTAAAATGCTTAGCTGGGTGTGTTTGTTTAACATACTTTTAAAATCGCAATCATGTTTATTGAAGAGTTTTACATATACATAACAGCATCTAATTTCATTTACTGATCAGCTCTTACCGAAATAGCCGAAACTAACAGCAGCAGCAGTAACAACAACAACAACAGTAGTAGTGGTAGTCACCAACCCAACCACAAACACGTCATAAGGGAAGTGAACGCCATGCTGAACGAGGATGTTGTACTCAAGTGTCACGTAAGGAGAAACAACGTGTCTGCCATCTGGTGGAGGTTTGTCTTGATGATGATGATAATGATGATGATGTTGGTGGTGATGATGATTATTAAAACCATAATGTGAGTATGATGATGATGATGGTGATAATGATGATGATAATAATTCTGTTTGAAAGTTTTATACTTTTGCTGAGACCATCTTCTTAATATAATTATCTTTATCGTAATCATCATCATCATCATCATCACCGCCACCACCAACATCACCCTCTTCATCATCATCATCATTATATTCTCGTCAGATTAAAAAAATATTTTTTTCAAATCTTATAAAAAAAATGCTCCTACAGAAAATCCAATGATGGAAAACTTGCCACCATACCGCTTTCACCTTTAACCCCTTCAAAACCATCATCATCATCACAACCATCATCATCATCACAACCATCATCATCATCACAACCATCATCATCATCACAACCATCATCATCATCACAACCATCATCATCATCACAACCATCATCATCATCACAACCATCATCATCATCACAACCATCATCATCATCACAACCATCATCATCATCACAACCATCATCATCATCACAACCATCATCATCATCACAACCATCATCATCCTCAAAACCGTTATCATCATCTCTATCATCAACATCATCATCATTATCTCGACCACCACCATCAGCCCAACATGCGAAATACGAGCTGCTGAATGGGCGACACCTGCTGATACATCGCGTCAGTTACGGCGACAGAGGCTACTACTCTTGCGTTTCTTATGATAACAAATATGATACTACCGGTGATAATAAGGATACAGATGTAGGTGATGGCAGAAATGATACTAGCGATGTCGTTGATTATGAGGACGGTGACACGAAAGAGAAGTTTACTTGGTACCTGTCTATTTTGGGTGGGTATCTGTAACGATATCCTATCATCATTTTGATACACTATCATCTAATCATGGTCATTGTTTCGTGACGTCATTATGTCATGACGTCATCCTCGTCACAGCATCATCGTCTTATAACACCATCCTTTCGTCTTATGCCTTTAAAGTCACCACCGATATCACACTCCATAAATTGAGTCTACTCCTACTCACTTCATCATCACATCGCACATTGTTTTTTGCACCATTTCTTATCTTAAGTTAAGTCTGGCGATAATAATAATAATAATAATAATAATAATAATAATAATAATAATAATGATGATGATGATGATGATGATGATGATGATGATGATGATGATAAAATAATATTGATATAATAATAATAATATAATAATAACAACAACAATAATAATAGTAATATAATAATAATATAATATAAATAATAATGATAATAATAATAAATAATAATATAATAATAAAATAACTATATAATGGCCATTACAACCATCCCAAATGAAGCAGAACAATCGCCAGCAACGTCGTGCCAGGAGTCAGCTGGTAAGGTGAAGATGTCGACGATGCTTGCGCTGCTGGGAGCCACCGTCGCCATATTGCTTCTCACGTTCGCGTTCGTCATGTTCGTCGTCGTTTCCAGGCATAAGAGGCAACTCGATTTGAGTAGAGATTCCGTTAAGTAAGTTTGGTGATTGATTGGTTGGTTGGTTGATTAAATGATTGATTGATTGATTGATTGATTGATTGATTGATTGATTGATTGATTGATTGATTGATTGATTGATTGATTGATTGATTGATTGATTGATTGATTGATTGATTGATTGATTGATTGATTGATTGATTGATTGATTGATTGATTGATTGATTGATTGATTGATTGATTGATTGATTGATTGATTGATTGATTGATTGATTGATTGATTGATTGATTGATTGATTGATTGATTGATTGATTGATTGATTGATTGGCTACTTGATTGGCTACTTGATTGGCTACTTGATTGAGTGATTGATTGAGTGAGTGATTGAGTGATTGAATGGCTAGATTGATTGACTGATGTGTGGATGGACAGTAGTGAACTAAATGAATGAATCTATCAACCATTCGATCAATTAATAAATAAACGAAAGAATAAATGTTTGAACGATTGATTGAATGAAAGAATAAAACATCAAAAAAAAACTGAGGAACGAACGAGCAGAGGGTCATTGAATTAATCGCGAAACAGAGACACACGATTCGATTTAACATTCCAAATCGTTGAAACTCTCATTAAACAATATAAACGATTTATAAAAGCTCTCTGTAGTTCGATTATTTACAAATAATAAATTTCCGCAAGAGAATCATTATCAGCATCATGTTGGTGACGTCACTATCGAACGCATGATGATATCTTGTATCATTGTGTAGTGATAGATATCTTCTATCCTTATTCACACTGAACAATTGTATTAATGTTCTCAGTTTCTTAAATGACGATTTAAAATTTTCAGGGAGAGTATATGCTCCATGAAGAAATATGAAGACGTTTGATGAAGGACAATGTTGTTCATAATCGTTATTATTGAAATGCTTCGTTAACTCTTTCATTCTTATTCGTACATTTATTCTTATTTTTATATATTCATTCATTGTTTTTTAATTTATCAATTTTCTAAATTAATTACTAATTCATTTTTAGTTAATTTGTTCACTTCTTTTTTATTCATTAATTCACTCATTCCCTCATTCAATCAACCATTAACTTCCTCATTCATTCATTCATTCTCTCATTCATTCACTCATCAACTCCTCCGTTACTTCGGTTTTTGAACTTGAGTTTAGTTTGCGTGTTTCATGCAAAATGGTGAAAATGTGGTATGACGATGACGACGTGTGAGTGTGGTATGATGTTGGCTCGTTTCACCCTATCAGTATTCTTCAGCATTTTTTACAAGTTTGTGTTTACTTTCCTGTATGTTTCATATTCGCGAACTTATATTTATAATTTATATTTTTTGAGTAGCGTTCCTTCGTAAGCTATGCAGTGTAACCTCATAAGCGCACTCGTATCAATGTGCTTTACGACTAATAATAATGCTTAACTCATGTCACCTAAGACATGGTATGATACATCCGATAGTTCTAATTTCAAATTCTTGAATAATTTTTTATTTAATTTTTTATCCAACTAACTAATTTGAATTTGTTTTTTTTTTCACAATAATATTGATACACGAGGTTTAATACAACTTTCAAAATTATTCAAAAACATATTTTAAGTTGTCTACAAAGTTTTTAATGAATTAAATATTATAAAGGTTCCCTACGATACAAACAAATCTATACAAACACACAAAAAAAGCAAAATACATACACACATTTATTATATATATATATAAATTTCATATATATATATATATATATATATATATATATATATATATATATATATATATATATATATATATATATATATATATATATATATATATATATATATATATATATATAAAT